TATAAAACAATGATTAATATGAAAAGAAATATTATTATATAAAACAATGATTAATATGAAAAGAAATATTATTATATAAAACAATGATTAATATGAAAAGAAAGAGAATTAGATAAAACAATGATTAATATGAAAAGAAAGAGAATTCTATAAAACAATGATTAATATGAAAAGAAAGAGAATTCTATAAAACAATGATTAATATGAAAAGAAAGAGAATTCTATAAAACAATGATTAATATGAAAAGAAAGAGAATTCCATAACACAATGATTAATATGAAAAGAAAGAGAATGTCATAAAACAATGATTAATATGAAAAGAAATATTATTATATAAAACAATGATTAATATGAAAAGAAAGAGAAAGTAATAAAACAATGATTAATATGAAAAGAAAGAGAAATTCATAAAACAATGATTAATATGAAAAGAAAGAGAAATTCATAAAACAATGATTAATATGAAAAGAAAGAGAAATTCATAAAACAATGATTAATATGAAAAGAAAGAGAAAGTAATAAAACAATGATTAATATGAAAAGAAAGAGAATTCCATAAAACAATGATTAATATGAAAAGAAAGCGAATTCTAAAAAACAATGATTAATATGAAAAGAAAGAGAAAGTAATAAAACAATGATTAATATGAAAAGAAATATTATTATATAAAACAATGATGAATATGAAAAGAAAGAGAAAGTAATAAAACAATGATTAATATGAAAAGAAATATTATTATATAAAACAATGATTAATATGAAAAGAAAGAGAATTAGATAAAACAATGATTAATATGAAAAGAAAGAGAAAGTAATAAAACAATGATTAATATGAAAAGAAATATTATTATATAAAACAATGATTAATATGAAAAGAAAGAGAAAGTAATAAAACAATGATGAATATGAAAAGAAAGAGAAAGTAATAAAACAATGATTAATGAAAAGAAAATATTATTATATAAAACAATGATTAATATGAGAAGAGAAATTCATAAAACAATGATTAATATGAAAAGAAAGAGAATTCTATAAAACAATGATTAATATGAAAAGAAAGAGAAAGTAATAAAACAATGATTAATATGAAAAGAAAGAGAATTAGATAAAACAATGATTAATATGAAAAGAAAGAGAAAGTAATAAAACAGTGATAAATATGAAAAGAAATATTATTATATAAAACAATGATTAATATGAAAAGAAAGAGAATTCCATAAAACAATGATTAATATGAAAAGAAAGAGAATAAGTTTCATGTTAACATCTGCACCATGATCAACTAGGAATTGGACAATTTCTATTGAATTCGCTTTGATGGCAATACTAAGAGGGCATTCATTAATATCGAGAGAAATTCATAAAACAATGATTAATATGAAAAGAAAGAGAATTCTATAAAACAATGATTAATAAGAAAAGAAAGAGAATTCTATAAAACAATGATTAATATGAAAAGAAAGAGAATTCTATAAAACAATGATTAATATGAAAAGAAAGAGAATGTCATAAAACAATGATTAATATGAAAAGAAATATTATTATATAAAACAATGATTAATATGAAAAGAAATATTATTATATAAAACAATGATTAATATGAAAAGAAAGAGAATTCTATAAAACAATGATTAATATGAAAAGAAAGAGAAAGTAATAAAACAATGATTAATATGAAAAGAAATATTATTATATAAAACAATGATTAATATGAAAAGAAATATTATTATATAAAACAATGATTAATATGAAAAGAAAGAGAATTAGATAAAACAATGATTAATATGAAAAGAAAGAGAAAGTAATAAAACAATGATTAATATGAAAAGAAATATTATTATATAAAACAATGATTAATATGAAAAGAAAGAGAAAGTAATAAAACAATGATGAATATGAAAAGAAAGAGAAAGTAATAAAACAATGATTAATATGAAAAGAAATATTATTATATAAAACAATGATTAATATGAAAAGAAAGAGAAAGTAATAAAACAATGATTAATATGAAAAGAAAGAGAATTAGATAAAACAATGATTAATATGAAAAGAAAGAGAAAGTAATAAAACAATGATTAATATGAAAAGAAATATTATTATATAAAACAATGATTAATATGAAAAGAAAGAGAATGTTATAAAATAATGATTAATATGAAAAGAAAGAGAAAGTAATAAAACAATGATTAATATGAAAAGAAATATTATTATATAAAACAATGATTAATATGAAAAGAAAGAGAAATTCATAAAACAATGATTAATATGAAAAGAAATATTATTATATAAAACAATGATTAATATGAAAAGAAAGAGAAAGTAATAAAACAATGATTAATATGAAAAGAAATATTATTATATAAAACAATGATTAATATGAAAAGAAAGAGAATTCTATAAAACAATGATTAATATGAAAAGAAAGAGAATTCTATAAAACAATGATTAATATGAAAAGAAATATTATTATATAAAACAATGATTAATATGAAAAGAAAGAGAAAGTAATAAAACAATGATTAATATGAAAAGAAAGAGAATTAGATAAAACAATGATTAATATGAAAAGAAAGAGAAATTCATAAAACAATGATTAATATGAAAAGAAATATTATTATATAAAACAATGATTAATATGAAAAGAAAGAGAAAGTAATAAAACAATGATTAATATGAAAAGAAAGAGAATTAGATAAAACAATGATTAATATGAAAAGAAAGAGAATAAGTTTCATGTTAACATCTGCACCATGATCAACTAGGAATTGGACAATTTCTATTGAATTCGCTTTGATGGCAATACTAAGAGGGCATTCATTAATATCGAGAGAAATTCATAAAACAATGATTAATATGAAAAGAAAGAGAAATTCATAAAACAATGATTAATATGAAAAGAAATATTATTATATAAAACAATGATTAATATGAAAAGAAAGAGAAATTCATAAAACAATGATTAATATGAAAAGAAATATTATTATATAAAACAATGATTAATATGAAAAGAAAGAGAATTCTATAAAACAATGATTAATATGAAAAGAAAGAGAATTCTATAAAACAATGATTAATATGAAAAGAAAGAGAATTCTATAAAACAATGATTAATATGAAAAGAAAGAGAAATTCATAAAACAATGATTAATATGAAAAGAAAGAGAAAGTAATAAAACAATGAAAAAAAAAAAGGTAGTGGGGCTTCCAGGCGCGTTGCGCCCTCTAGCCCATAAGAAATTTTGCCCAAGACCCAAGAGGAGGACCGAACCCCAGCCGACCAGCCGGTGACAAAACCAAAACTGTTGTTATTTACATCATATTAATGGTGTCGCTTTTCACAAATTATATATGTTTTCACGTTTTGTCACTTTTCCATCACTTTTCGGGTAAAAACATTTTTATTATTATATATAAATGAATTTTACAAAACCACCGTTACCGTTCTTTGGAAATAAGAGTAGATGTAAAGATATTATATTGAGAGAACTTAAGAAACTACCGAATGGTCTAACATTTGTAGATTTGTTCGGTGGAAGTTTCTATATATCCCATTTGTGCCATATAATATTCCCAGACTCAAAGATTATATGCAATGACTTCGACAACTATATGGACCGTCTCAAACATATTCCAGACACAAACAATATATTGAAAGAGTTAAAAGAAAAGATACCTATAGGTAAGATGGAACGTATACCATTAGATAAGAAAAATATTGTGAGAGAGGTTTTGAAAAAAGCAGAATATATAGACTGGGATAGTATATCTGCTAGACTATTATATAGTGGTGCTATAAGAGTTCATGACATTGAAACACTCATGTCAAAAGTTTTATATCTCAACTATACAAATGTTTTCAAAGAGGACATAGAAAAATATATTGAGGGTATAGAGTTTGTGAGATGTCATTGGACAGAGTTGTATGAAAAATATAAAGACAAGGAAAATGTTTTCTTTATAGTGGACCCGCCGTTCTATAACACATGGGATTTTCAATACCAAGTAGACTGGACTTTGAGAGACTCTTTAGAAACTTTAGACGTTATACATAACCATCCATGCTTTTACTTTACATCCGATAAAAGTGGTTTGGAAACCGTTATGAGATGGTTAGAGGACATACATGACTATGAGTTTATATATGACAAGATAGAATATGAGAGAGGTCCTATAAACTGGAGAAAGTGTCACAATAAAGAAATTTTATTAGTAAGTAAATGTGGTTTGAAATCGGATTGTTAGTTTTAGGTTTTTTCCATTGTGTCATTTATTTATTTGACGTGGCAGAAAAGTACAGAGAATATGAAGATGAACCAATGCCTGCAAATGTTCAGTATATGTACTCGTAAGAGATATTTTTATCTAATATTAAATGGACGCACAGAACTTAGCGAATGCACAGCAACCTGGACAACCAAACCCAGAGAATATTCCAAATGAAGTTAGAATACAAACTGCAATGGCAAACTATGGTCAAGTGCCAACAGATGTACAAATGCAAACTGCCATGTCAAATGACGCTGCGTTAGGTTTGCCACCATGGTATGCAAATATGAGATGGAAAGAGTTTTATACAAACCCTGAAGTGGGATATAAACAACTTTATGCAGATGACGCGAACACAGGAGTTGACCCAGAATATGTTTTCTACCAGAGGAGAAACAGAATGTATGAGCTCCAGTTAAAGAATGCTATGGAACTCAACAGGAAACGTAAGAGACTAGGCGGACATTAGATTTTTACATATAGTAAAATGGGTTTCTTCAGTAGTATTGGAAACTTCTTCAGAAGAGTTGGAAGAGGTATATGGAATGGAATAAAATCTGTCGGAAGAGGAATTTGGAACGGAGTCAAAAATATTGGTAAAAGAGTAGGTCAGTTTGTTGGTATTATACCTAAAGACCCTGAACCAGAAGAACAAGCTCCTGTTATACAACAGCCTGAACCTGCACCACAGTCTAGTTGGCAACCAAATCCAACACCTCAACCGTATTAAAAATTATATTTTTACCGTTCGATAGTAGTTGTATATGAAACTAAGTTCTAAGTAAAACGCATGGTATAATGGAATTATTCTTTTTCTTCCATCTGTAGTAAACCATACTTGAAAGTCTGAAATACTTCCACTCGGCGGTTCATATAACTTTGTAGGTTTTTCGTAAAAGTCATTTGCCAAGCATAAGAAAGAGTTTTGGGCGCCAGAAAATGAAGCATGAACAATAATAGCATCTTGGTCGAAAACATTTTCATATGTTCCATTAGGGTTTTCGACTTCATAAAAGTCTGGGTGTACTGGATATGCTGCAGGCTGATTTAACATCCTCATAAATCTATACCATGCCAAGTTGTTATATTTTGTAGAAATATAAACGTTTTCTCCAAGGTCTTCTATTTTATTGATTTTAACAGTTGCATTTTTCCTGTCATAAATAATATCGAGATGGTATTCTCCTTCGTCAATGTTATACTGGTTTGCATATTCGATATAGATGTCGTTTATTTTTTCTTGAAAAGCTTGAAGAGTTGTTTCTAAGTTTACAAGCAAACTAACTTGTAAAAGTTTTCCCTGTTCAAATTTCTCATACGTATGTTTTTCTTTGTTATAGTATCGAACTTCAAAACCGACCGTAAATGGGAAACCATGTATGGCTTCTGAAATGAACTTCATTCTACGAAAGCCAATAGCTTTTGTGACAGATGGGTCTCTTAGCCATCTTAATGGGTAGTCAAAACGATAGCCTTCATGCTTTACGGTCTCTGTCTCAAACTTTTGACCGACATTAGTAAAAAGTTCATCTAATGGTTTAGTTGTAGCAACTCTTGAATTTTCTTTTTCTATTGGAAGCATATTTTATCTAGAATAAAAATGTCGAAAGATATTGCTTCCATGAGAGAAATACAACACAACCGACAACTCATTATGCAAGCTCTAAATAAGAACACAACAAACTTTTCAAACTATTCTAAGATATCTGAGTCATTGAAAGAAGGAAACTTAAAACTGACATTAAACCCAATGACAGATGAGTTTCTATTTCAAGACAATAAGAACCATACTGTCTGTATAAATCCAACAAAAGGAACTTTAAACGAGAAACCTATAAATGAACTTCTTTTGAAGGCAGATGTTGACAACAAAGCTGACAAAGAATATGTAGACGATGCAATAGCAAAAGAAGAAGAAAGAGCTAACAATGCTTATGCAACAAAAGAACATACTCATCCTGAACTAGCAGACAAAACATATGTTGACAATAAAATGTCAAGTGAAGTGACAAGAGCTGAAAACGAATATTCTAAAAAGACTCATATACATACCATTGCAAATATTACAAACTTACAAGAAACCTTAAACAGGAAAAGTGACGTTGGACATACACATTCTATATCTGAAATAACAGACTTAAACGTTAGCCTTGAAAATAAAGCAGACAAGAACCATACACATACAAGTTTTACAACTGTTGCTATAGAAAGTATTGAAGGAACGGTTGAAGAAACTGGTGGGGATGTATTATATTATAAACCTCCTAACTTTCCACAAGGTTTAACATCGGATGACGACATAACGACGATGAGAAACATTAGATGTAAAGATGTTTATGTCATGAAGGATGAACATAATATTAAATTCACTGCTCAAGATTTATATGACAAGAAAGCAGACAAAACAGAGCTTCAAACATTAAAGACAGAAATACTTCAAACATTATATCCTATAGGCTCTATTTATACGTCAATGAACTCAACAAATCCAGAAACAGTTCTGGGTTTTGGAACTTGGACTCAAATAGTCGACAGGTTTTTGTATTGTACAAACTCTTCAAAGGAAACAGGTGGAAGTAAAACGATTTCAGGTGAAAATTTACCTGCGCACAGTCATTACGTAAGATTAACTACATCTGAAGGTGGTTGGCATAAGCATAGATATTGGGATTGGAGAGGAATGACAAAAGGTAAAGGATATGATGTTAAAGAGGACGTTAAGTTTGCTATAAATTGTTACTGGGATGACACGCAGGGAGAAGGAATCCATTCACATTTCGTTACAGGATATACACATACAACGGGACAAAGTAAAGAATACATGCCACCTTACATGACAGTTTACGCATGGTATAGAATTGCTTAGTCGTCATTTTCAACTTCTTTAGCATATTCGTCAGGAGTTGTCTTATATTTGTTAGGAACTGTCTTTGAAAGTATACCACCTTGAACTTTGACAAGTTTGAAACGAGGTCTGACAATAGTAGTTTTATCTTCTGCTTGCAGTGTGTACATTTTGCCATGTTTGCCTAAAACTTCATAATATTCTCTTGTATACTTTCTTCTATTTTTACGAACACGAATGTGAGTACCTGTCGAGTTCCCATTGTTGTCATAGTCAATAGTATTTTCATATGGGTCGCGTTTAGGTATTTCTATTTTTACTTTGTCACCTTTCTGAAGTTTGAAGCCCGGCATTCTTTCTTGTTTGTCTCTTTTGACTAAATTATTAAATATATAGTCTTTCTCTAAGTCAGGGTTGTTTTTCATTTCTTCGGGGGAGTGGTTTCCCAAACCTTTTTGTTTACGGTTATTGTAAATATTTAAAACTTGTCTCATCTTTGCCTGGAGAAGTGTCTATACTTGTCGTCATATGACATTTCATTTGCTTCACCACCTTGTGGTTGGTTTAAGTCTCTTAATATTTTATACAACCGTCAATGACACCAAGAGCAGAATGGTTTTGGTCGACAATGAAATATTGGTTTATTTTTTGAACGCAGATAGTTTTTATATCATCTGATTTGAAAGAACTTTCACAGTCAGATGTCAGTTTTGTTGGATGGTATTTGTCAACGAATATTGTCAAAGCAGTTTTCACATCTAAAATATTTTTGGACCATAATGGTATGGCTTCACAGTATCTTGTGTTTTGACCAACAAATATTAACCAGTATGGAGGTCCATCTTCTCTATACCTCGGAATGTTTTCCAAGATATCCATAAACCAAGCATTTGGTGTTGAACTAAAGATTTTTATCATGAGTGCTTTCTTTGTCGCTTTAGAAACATAGGGGTCCTTGTTTGGATTCGTCATTTTTTACCCATAAGAAATGGGTTTATTTGGCGCATTAGCAGGAGTTGCATCCAGATTTTTGCCCGCAGTGGGAACAATAGCTAGAGGTGCATTTGGAATTGGAAGGAAGATTTTGAGTACATTAGGTATACTTAAAGAGAAAGCACAACCTATTATACAAACTGTACAGAAAGGTTGGGATGTAGCACGAGATGCAACAAATCTTATTCCAAATCCTGAAACAAGAGGAAAAGTTCAAGGATGGATGGACAATGTAGGAAGACAAGCAGGAAACTATTATAACAAAGCAAATGACTACTATAACCAAGCAGGACACTATATGGACCAAGGTGAAAGATTCTTTAACAGAGGATATAACCATGCACAACAATGGGTAAACAATAACCAACCGCAACCGCCTCAAACGTGGGGAATGTAAAATTTTTTACTGAGATGAAATGAACAATACAGCATTGAGACAAATGGGTTCAAGATGGATTTGTCGACTTCCAGCAGTTACACCACGTGTTTGTCAAGTTCTTCCTATACCTCAGGAAGTTTTAGACCGACTTAAAAAACCTAAACAACCAGTTGAAAACAAACCAAACTAAAATTTTTTACTGATGAAATGACCGAAGAAGTTGAAACGGTAGATTTGACACCACAAACAAAAAGTTCAGAACCATTGTCAAAACCTGTCAAAGAACTTACAGATGAAGAGAAAAATTCAATAATAGAAAGTGCCAGGTCTGGAAATACAAACCCTAACTATAAAGTCACTTTTCATAAATGGAACGGCTAGTATCTCAAAAAAGAAACAGACTCTCACAAATAAAATATTGAAGTCTGAAGGAGCTTTCGAGACAACAGATGGAAAAGTTTACTTCACTGACCAACAGTTCATTATAGAACATCTCATTGACTTAGAGTCGAAATATTCTAAACTTTACAACAAACACAAAAAGTTGAAAGGAAAACAAAAACAAATGGCATATGATATTTATGAAGATGTTGACGACACAACTGTTCCTGCAGGTGAGGTAAAGTCGAGGAACCGAAAAGTGACGAAAAACCGATAGAAGAAAAAAACCAAAAACTGAAGATAAACCAAAACCAAAGTTTAGTTTCCAAACTAAACCAAGTCAACCTTCATTAGCTGGTATGGGTTGGCGTCAAAGACTTATGGCAGCAGGCGGTTATGTAAAGTAAAAAAAAAAATATTTTTTTATTTTTATAAAAATGCCCCCATATAGAATGGATAGAAATCTGCTAGAATAAAAGCAGAGTTACAAAGATATGGTTGGAGAGTTTCGAAGAATTTTAAATATAGGAAGGGAAGACCCATAAAAGTCTATGACAAATTGTCTGGTCTTCGCTACGAAATGGATTTGGAAACAGCACGTGCCAATTATCCAAACAGACTAGAGAGGTTAGAAGAAGAACGTCTTATGGACATGCCTTTCGATGTTAGTGAACCTCAAGTTGAAGGACACGACGGCTTTGCCAGATTCTACTGGAAACATGACGAACAATTGCATCCTTTGAGAAGGAAAAAAGGAAAAGGTGAAGACGCACATGCTCCCATGGAAAGAACAAGATATGCATATGAAAAGTATCGTGAAGTTAGAAGTCAAATTACATCTGGTCGAACCTTTACAGTAAACTTTGACGAAGGAAAGAACAAAGAAGGCTTCATGGGTGTACTTGCTGCAATTCAAGACGGAAATAAGAAAGGACACAATCTCAGATTGACCATAACAGATTTGGATGGTCACATTTACTATGCACATGGCAATGAACAAACAGCCGCAAAACTTCTTGACGCTTTCAAGACTACAAAGAGAGAACAAATGGTTGACTCCGACTCAGACATTTTGAATGCAATTGAAGGAATTGCAAGTGTCAAGTTCGAATGGTACCAACCTAACCCTCAAGCAGTCAGACAACATGCTGGATACTTCCCGTTCATAAATAAGTCTGACATTGACTTGACAAGGTATGGAATTTACAATTCAATTGAAACAATTGTCAATGAACCTTGTATTCTTACATGTCTCAGGAACTCTGGTCTTGTTACAGATGAGAAGATGAAGTATCTTGAGTCATGTGTGAAGACAAGGTACATTCTCAGAGGTCAATTGGCAAAAATTGCACCGTTGGCAAATGTCAATATCCGAGTCAACATACCTACAGCTAAAGGTTCTTCACATGACGACTATGTTGTTGAGTTCAATTTACCATGGTTGAAGATTGTAATTGTCCACAACCACTTCATGTTGAACGAAAGTCTTACAAACCCATTGTTCGGAAAAGGCAAGTGCAACATTGTCAGAGCTGTAAACATTCTTTTCGAGAAAGGTTTGTTGGAACCAATTCCAGATGACAAGCTGACAGAAACTTTTGTACCAAAAGACGAAACAAACTTTTCACTGTTAGCAAGACCAAAAGTTGTTCCAGACAAAGTTCTAGTACAAAAGAAGTACACAATTCCACAAGGAGTTGGATTGTTCGGATACCAACCTGAACCAGAAGAACTTCCAATGAGGTTGCAAGAACTTCAAGATGCTATAAATAAACTTCCATTGAGACATCCAATTGACGTCAAATTGTATTGGAGAGCATCTGAGTTAGGTCAGAAGGTTTTATATGAAACAGGTTGCTTCGACGATGTTTATGAGATAACAGGAGAAGTTTCTCAGAAGATAAGAGACTCACTTGAATTTCCACAAACTGGACCAATTGGTTGCGACAAGTTCGACTCAGATGAAAAGATATACTATGTCGACCTTAACGCTGCATACATGAGGTTTGTCCAATATATTCCGACTGGAATTCCAAACGAAGATGGTGAGTTCCCGGGAAGGAACTATACAGTTGGAAAAGTCATACAACAACTGTATGATATTAGGAAAGCTTCAAACCCCAAACTTGCAATGACACTCAAATTGCTTATGAATTCGACATGGGGATATTCCATTAAGAAACCTCAAGAGATGAAGAGTAAACATTATGAGAAGGTCGACAACTTTGTTGAAAGGTTTTCTCCTTTTGTTTTGAAGTACGAATTCACTCAAGGTCAAAGTGGCTTAGTAACCACATTAAAACCTATTGTCGAACATTGGTCTTACCCTCAGTTCGCAAAGGCAGTCCTTGACAACTACAACAAATTCTTCTCCGAAGTCAAATCCAAAGTTGTGGTTTACTATGAGAACATTGACGCACTCATGACGAACGAAGAAGGATACAACAAACTCATTGAAATGGGTTTAGTCGGTGAGAAGATGGGTCAATTCAAATTGGACAAAATTTTCACCGAAGTTCATGTCCTCTCCAAGCGTAAGTACTGGGGCATACTTGAAGACGGCACAGAAATAAAACATTGCATGAAATAAAAAATTTTTATTCGAATTTGAATTAAAATGTGGGAATTCTTGGGAACGGGAAAGGCTTATTTACTTGAGGAACAGGTAAAGGTGGTGGAGGTGGAGGTGGTGGCAACCAGTCCATTTTATATTCCTTCCTAGTAATTTCCGTTTAATTTCATGGTCGCCCTCGGAGTCTTTGAATCGGACAGGTCGAGTTACACCATTCTTGGTCTCAAACTCATATATAACCTGTTTGTCTGTATTTTCGTCGACTATGGCACGAGACACGAACATTGACCAAACGGACAAAAAGTGTCATTTCGGATGGTCATGCAGCCAATCGCATTCGAGCACTTCGAAGAAGCCTTACGTTCCAAGGGAGAGGGTGTCTGGTGCAAGGCAGAGGTCATGAAACTCTACGAGCAGTACATCCTCAATGCCTGGGAGGACAAATCGTCCTTGGATTGGCAATTCTACCAACTTCTCTGGGACGACCTCCTACGCAACTGGGATGACGAAAGAGTCCAATTCAAAGGTCGGGAACTAATTTTGCAAATTGACCTTAATTTCACATACTTATCCAAATAAACACCTAAATTTACTTGGGGTTTCCCCCTAAAATAAAATTTTTTTACTCTTAGAACCACTCGAGGTTCTCCTTACGGTTGTTGAGCTTGTCACCGTCAATGTGTCTGACCTTCGTCTTCTTGCCTGGATTTGGAACCCATTGAATTGCGACAAGCTTGCCCATGGAGATTGAACCGCGATTCCGAAGGTTAAGGTTCAAGTGTCCCAAGTTGTTGAGGACTGGGGTTAGAACCTTGCCGGTCTCCCTGTTGCGGATTTTGTATGGGTAGGGTTGGGAAATTTCGTAAGTGTCATCGGCAACAAGGGTTGCCCAAACTTCCTCTTCTTCGTGTTTCTCTTCTTCCTCGACAATTCCTTCTTCAATTCTGTGTTCACGAATTACGGTGTTGGAGGTTCTGTCCTTTCCGAGTACCTTCCAGATGGCATCTATCTCTTCGAAGAAACGGTAGATGAGTCTGGAAAGGTCTCGGTTCTCTCTCTCGTAATTGCGCAAGGTTTCCGCGAAATCGTTCAGGCATTTCTCATTGGAAGCTTGGTTCATGAGGACATCGGCTTTGAGCTTGGTCATCTCTGTCATAAGACAACTTTGGAGAGTCTTAATGGTGTTTGTCAGATGAGCTTTCAATTGGGCAATTTGAATTTGAATTGGGCGCTTGTCTGGCAACCTTGAAAGGACATCTGCCATTGAGTTTGGCTTCGGTGCTTGTTCGGACATCGAAAAATGAAGTGGTTTGAGAATGACGGTTTTACTTCAAAAAGCTTGTTATGACAGTTAAGTCATACAACAAGTTTAAAATAATATCTTGTTCTTCTTCTGAACGTTTGTTGTCTCTTCCGATAAAAGTTTGGAACATGAGAACCAAAAAACGTTTTTTGAGATTGCGGAAGAGTTCAGGCAAACGTTCATATTCCGGAGATGTTGGGAGCAGTTCGAAACATCTGAGCTGACTTTCGGACAAAATTGGGACAATGTCAGAAAATTCATCTTTGGTCGGACTGCTTGAAGGTAAGTCCCTTACATGTAAGTAGCTCTGGTAAAGTCTTCTCATTTCTGCTAACTTTTGGAGTATAGCTTCGTAGTTTAGAAGTTTTAATTTTAAATGTCTTATTCCACTCTTGACATCTAAACGGTAACTATCCATGAGGTCAAGAGTAGCTTTGGTAGCTTTAAGTGGAGCTATCTGTTCCTTGACTCCTGCAATTTTGGTTGCAATTGTGATTTGAGCTCCTTCAAGTTCGCCGTCTATGTCGTTCTCAACGTCTTCAACTATGGCTTGAAACTCTTCATCGGTCCATTGAGATTGGTGTGGGACGAATTTAACTTGCTTCATTCAAAAAATGAAAAAAAATGTTTTTACTCTAAACGTTAAGGTTTACTGAACTGGTTGGATGTCGCCTTCTGAGGTTATGTAGAACGGCTGACCCGAGAAGTGAAGGAGACCCTTGAGAATTTGGCTCATTCTTGGGAAAGGGTTCTCCTTGTTTGGAAGTAGTATCCAAGGACGCTTGGCAAAGAACTTGAGAAGAGCTTCTTTCTTTGCTTGCTTTATGCCATCGTAGGCTGTCCCGTCTGGTATTTGAATTGGAATTCCAGTCGAAGTCTCGAGATTCAAGGCAGCCCTTCCCGTTATCCAACCGCTAACAAGCTTGCCTTTTACATTCTGCCTGAGGAAGTCTTTAACAAGCTCGTTAATTTCAATTAGGTAAATTGCCTCGTCGGTAGGTTCGACCTCGACCATTGCTACTGACAGAAAAAGTACTTCTACTGTCAGAAAAAGTACTGCTACTGTCAGTAAAAGAAAAAGTACTCTACTGTCAGAAAAAGTACTGCTACTGTCAGTAAAAGTACTTCTACTGTCAGTAAAAGTACTTCTACCGTCAGTAAAAAGGAAAATTTGAGAGGGTTTTCGACGATAAAGTACTTCTACTGTCAGTAAAAGTACTTCTACTGTCAGTAAAAGTACTTCTACTGTCAGAAAAAGTACTTCTACTGTCAGTAAAAGTACTTCTACTGTCAGTAGAAGTACTGCTAGTAGCAGAGATTTTTATCGTTGTGGTCCGATGGTTAAGCCACAAACGAATGTCCGACGTCCCACCAACCGAGTCCATTCCCAAACCAGAGGAACCTAAAGCACCAGCCCCTGCACCTCAGTTCCAGCAAGTCCCTCCACCAAATTACTACCAATTTCCACCTCAAGGTTACTACCAATTTCCACTACAAGGCTTCCCGAACTACCCTCCTCAGCCTATGCCTTACTTCCCCAACCCTTGGATGTTCCAGCAAGCTCCACCCCAGCAATTCCAATCTCAATCCCAATCGAAGAGAGACCAAGACTTCGAAGAAGGCCTGAACCGCTTACGCAAAGAGTATGCTACAGCTCCTATGGAAGACGACAGGCTTTCAGTCTCTTCCCTAAGGTCGACCAATTCGACTCGTACCACAGATTCGGTTCGTGACCGTGAAGACTACCTCAAGCAGTCTGAGAGACTCTTCATCCTACAACCATTTACAGTTGGAGCTCTCAAGAACATGCGCAATTACGAAGGTCAGACACCAGCTGGAGACCGCAAAACAGACGTACTCGCAAGAGCAGTCCAACTGGTCAAGACAAAGACTGAGATAGTCGACTTCATTCTTGCAGCTTGCCCATACAAGTAAAAAAATAAACAATTACGAGTTAAACTTTTTATTCTTTCTTTTCTGAGTTGTTTAGAGCTGGTTTCTCTTGTAGGAACCTTTCGTACTCTTCCATGGTCATGTAATTGCGAATTTGGTACGCAATTCCAGGTTCGTTGTTTTTGAACCTTACGTATGTAACGCTTCCATCCTCCTCAGGGAAGTAAGCTGCTAACATCTGACCAAGTTTTCTCGGTGACTCGGAGCTCATAAAAATGTCACTTTTTAAACGTTAAGTTTTTAGTCTTATTTTACCCTTTGTTTACCCTTTGTTTGTCAATGTAGTATTGGAGTGCAATTTCTCCAAATTCTCTATGTCGGAGTTCTTCAGCATTTTCCAAGGTGTACCTGGAGAACTCAAAGAAGTTGTCAAGAAGATACTGCCATGCTGCTCTTCTGAGTTCGTCGGTATTTTGGAAGTGTTGCACCTTCGAGTCTTCGGACATGAAAAAATGACACTTTTTCTATTAAACCGTTTTGGCATTTCTCATGAGTGAGTATAGTTCTGCCGAACCATTGGAAGAGAAGAAGTACCCTTGCTGGCAAAAGACAAAAATAGTTGCCTTAGTTGTCATTGCAATTGTACTCGTAATTGAATTCATTGTACTTCTCTTCACGTACATAAAACTCAGCAATGGTATTTGCTTTAAGAAGCTACCATCTTACTAAGACTAAACACTTAGATTTTTCAAGCTTGACTTTTTACAATTTGAATTTCCTCATATGCTTGCTTCCCTCGGAAAACCGAGGGAAGAGATTCCGTATGAAAACAGTGAAGAACAGCGAGTAGTTAAAAAACCCCAGTCGCCAAAACTCTATGAAAACAGTGAAGAACAGCGAGACCGACTTCTTTCGGGGTCGCCTTCAAACAAGCAGAGTAAATGAACTCTTTATTTTTCAAGCTTGACTTTTTACAATTTGAACTTTGTTTGCGTAGATATGAATTCTGAAAGAAGTATGAGGGTCTTGTATGACTTTGTACTTCTCCCATAGTTCATGTCTGTCAAACTTACCTGCCATGGACTCTTTCATAAGTTCCATGAAATCGTCTTCGGACAATCCGGGGAAAAGTATAATGTCAGTAAGTATTCTTTTAACATCCTTACTTAAACTCTTGGCTGTCTGTACACATATTACGACTGAGATGTGAAAGTGTCTGAGCTTCTTAAGAATTCGACACATATCTTGTTCTCTGTTCTTTAACAAAGGATGAGAAGCAAAGTCATCTAAGATAAGAAGACATCTATGAGGGTAAGTCTTCCAATCGTACGATTGCAATTTCTTCGAAATGTATTCTATCTCTTTCTGTTTGTTTCTGAAGTGTTTCTTCTCTAATATTCTCTGCATTTCCTCATTTGGGTCTTTGAACTTAGAATTTATATACTCATTTATAGCATTATACTTCAAAACTCTTCTTTGGTACTTCTTTATCCAATCTAACAACTCAGTATCCTTTATACATACTAACTTAGACTTCTTTATAATATCTTTGAACGAATTGACGGTTTGGTCAAATTGACCAGAAGTCGAACAAATGACTACTAACTCATAGAATGGGTTCTTCTCATCTAGTTCTTGTTGTTGTGCAGCCATTTTAAGATAAGTGAAAGTCTTACCCGACCCAGGTGGTGCAATTAGACCTGTTATACCATTCTGAGCAAATAAGAACTTGTCATGTATAGGTTTTATTTGAGCATTTTCTAACTTCCTCTTGTTCTTGTTTAAAACATTCTCAAATTTCTTGTCAATGTCAGCAAACTTTTTTTCTAACATATTTTTAGAAAAATTAAAATTTTTATCTTTTAGAAAATGTCTAGTGATTTCGCTATCTATATTCGAGACAAGCTTTTTGACTCTAAAACTTCTGTCGACCATAAAATCTTACATAGTGTAAACAAGAAAGGTGAATTTGTTCTAAAGTTCTGTTTCTGGGAATATGACAAGAACCATAAAACATTAAGCAGAGCAGTCTTTAAGTTTGTCAATGACAGACTTGTTGACAGAGATGACGCCTCTTGGAGAGATGAAGTCCAACAAAACTTCTTAGAATGCAAAGAAGACACATGCGCTGTTCTTGAAGATGAAATAGAAAACAGAATAGATGAGCTATTAAAGGACAAAGAACTTTTACATAAATATAGTTGCGCCAAATTTGACATAACTCCACCAGAAAAGAAGAAGAGAGAAAAGAAAGAGAAAAAAGTAGAAGAGAAGAAAGAACCAGAGCCAGTTCCAGAGAAAAAGAAATTTGACATGTAAAAATAAAATTTTATTTTTAGAACATTTCTGGGTCAATGTCAATGTTCTCTTCCTCTTTAGGAGTAAACACTGGCTTAGACTCTAAAATCTTTTTACCCAACTTACCTTGAACTTCAACTATCTTAGACTCATAATATTCATAGTCGTCTGCTTTCTTTGGTTCATAAGGTATAACAAGTTTGTATGCTTTACCTTCTTCGAGTTTTGAGAACTTTCTGTCAAAATTTTCTTTGACTGTCAACATACCGTCAATGTATAAGTCTTCAAAAGTTGCACCACTTTTTCTAACAACAGCAAACTTAACTGGTGCAATGTTCCAAATTTTGTCAAATGTAGACTTTTCAAAATTGTAGAAGTAAACATTCAAATATGCGAATGGAGCTAACTTATCTTTGACTTCTGTCATGTACTTATTTACTGAGATGAATTTCGTCATCTTTTCTATCGGATAAAAAATATTTTTTTTAAAATTTACTCAGAAAAAATTTTCTTTGTATATACACCATTCTGAACATCTAAAAGACTTTTGACATTTGCCAAGAATGTACGTTTAGAAGCTGCCATATAACCATATTCTTGACAATATTGTTTATACGAATCGTACAATGACCTTTCATCTAATGACACAAAGTCAGTTTCATCTATGAACAGTTCATATACACTCTTGTTTGCTTCTAACAATGTTTGTCTCTCTTCGGTATGTGGAATTTGTCTTGGATTGAACTTAGAAATATCTAATGTCATAAAGTATGAGAACAAGTGGTTGTAAAAGTCAGATGTCAAAGTTTCTGCTAAGTCGTCAAAATATTCTGTATCTTGCATATGAGCTTCTGACGTTCTGACAACTACATATCTTCTGTCAGAACTTTCTAACTTCATCGGAACAACATTGTTTGAAACCATAATGAAGTTTGCAACATTTTCACAAACTCTTTGGTCTTTATACTTTCTTTCAACAACTCCAACTTTGTCTGTTATAAGACTCTTCAAAGCATCTGAGTTCAAAACTTTTGTTGTATCTATACTTTGAAGTTCATTGCAAACTATAAGTTTCATATTCTCAATTGAAGAGTTAAATTTACCGCAGATGTTTTCTAAGTTTGTCATATTAGGGTTCGAATAACCTTCTAACAGTTTGCATAAGATATCTGTAAAGAAAGTATTCTTACCTGTTCCTTGTTTTCCAATTATAATGAGAGCAGTTTCATTTTTAGCACTTGGATGTTGTAAGATATTTGCAAACCAACATAAGATATACTCATAAACCTTTTCGTTTCCATTGCATATAATTTCTTTGACATGGTCTAACCAAGCTTCTATAATATTTTCTTTCCATTCTACTTGTTCGTATTTATATCCAGTGAAGATAGAATAGAAGTTTGGAGAAGGTGTATAGAACTTTATACCTCGAACTGAAAAATCTTCTAACTTTGACAATAAGATATCCCAAGCATCTAACATCTTCATTCCAACTTGTACGACTTTTATTTTCTTAAGTTTCTGTCTACATTCTTGTTCAGACACTATTGTTGCTCTTGGTTTGTTAAAGACAACATCCCATTCTTTCATGACATAACATTCTGGGGCAGAGTCAACATAAATGACTAAACGTTTCAAATTCTCGACTGCTTTGTTATAGTCTCTAAATGGACACATATTTCTGAATGCTTGGAAGTCATAAAAATCTGAAACATCTATTCTGTACATTTTTATAAAAATAAAAAAAATATTATTTTTTTATTCTTGACTTTGTTGTTCCATTTGTTGCATTTGTTGTTCTTGAGCTATTTGTTGTTGAAGTTGTTCTTGTAATACAATACTTTCACCAGTTGCATCTTCCAATTCGAAACTTTCTGCCGTCATTGACAAATACATAGGACATAAAAGTTTTACAGGAACAAAGTTTGCGTCAACTAATGTCAACGTTATACTTGCCAAAGTGTTTGAGTTCACTAAGGTTGAAAATTCTGCATTCGAATGAACAATAGGCAAACCAGCAGAGAAAGTATTGTTTATACGCATAAGTATCTTTTGGTCATAATAGTTTCTGTCGACATTCGAATAACACTTTGAACCTAAGTTTGAAACAATATATAAGATTGGTGTGCTTAATGTCAATGGAATAGACATTCCTTGTATGACACCTTTTCCTGTTATAGGAAACTGTTGGTAGTAAAAACCAGAAATAAGTTTTGTATTATAGCTCATATTGTTTATAGTAAACTCAGTCGGACATCCAAACATAATGAAACCTGCTCTAGTTGCAGCACATGTTACATCCGTCCTTAAAGTATTAAATAAGTCAACAAAACCTGTTGGTGGTATATCTGAGTAAGTATCTTCAAAGGAGTATTTTTTACCATTCACAACAATAAAGTCTTCTGGTGTCAAAAGAGCAAAACAGGCTTTAGTCGTCATTGTGTTTAAGGTTAGTTTACAATATCGTCCTTGAGGACTTTGTAAGTTTGTTGTTATAGAATTATATGACTCGGGGTTTTTAGTCGTAATAGTATAAACCATTATGTCTTCTGCCATTTATATATATTTAAAAGTTTTTCTGAAAGTGGAGAAGAACTTCATCTAAACTTTCACATGGCGTTTCTTGAAGTTCTCTGTCTAAGAAGTTCAAATATTTTGTAAAGACATAGAACTTTCCTTTGTCTACACGAACAAATAAAACAGGGTCTTTCATATCGTTCAAAAGTGTGTAAAGTCCTTTACATGAAATAAAGTCTATATTATTTTTCTTCAAACATCTTTCAAGAAGTTTTGACATTTTTACTTAGCAAATAAATTTTAATGAAATGTTGTGGTCGTCAAATATTTTTATAACGTCTGGGAAACTATACTTTAAGTTCAACGTTTCACCTCCTTTCATAACGTATATCAGTTAGTATACATATCTTGTGTACGGCGGCACTGCGTTCCTCCATACGCAATACTTGTGAATTTGACACTTTACAAAACCGTTAACGTATATTTTACAACACAAACGACAACACTAACTTAACCTTAAATATTTACAAAACCACCAACCACTTCACCTCACTAACGTTTTCACAAACGACTTCACTAATGTAAAAAATAAACGTTCTCACTTACAAAAGTATTGCAACTCCTCCCATTGCTGTGCTTCACATAACAGCTCATAATCTTCTGACTCACTTTCTTCTTCATATAGGTCAAAGTCACTGTCAAAATAAATGTTAGTAAGTTTTGACAAAGCTAATGAAACACGTTTACCGTTTGTATCGTATGCTTGTATAAACTTTCCATTCTTCATTCCTTCATAAATGCTCAAACTAACTTTACCCTTTCTCCCTCGTATCTGATAGAATGTACTTTCACGAGGAACGAAGAACAAATTCTTGAACTCATGACCGTTGTAGTTTGTTATCTCAATAGTTTTCGTCATTTATATAAAAATAAAATAAAAATAAAATAAAAAATAAACTTAAAAATTAATGATATCACCACCCTCACACGTATGAAAACATAGCACAAAAATAAATTTAGGTGAAGTGGTGAAATCTCACCTCTTTTTTCACCCGGTTTTTCACCCTAGCCGCAAAGCGGCTCTGACCCTTTGGGTCTCTTGAATTCATTACTTTATAACTCTCTTCCTTTCTCCAACTCTTCTAACTTCTTCTTAAGTTCAGCAATGTTGTCCTCATGAAGTTTAATCTTCCTTAATATACCTTCTCTATCTAATGGTTGCTTTATCTTTCTAAACTGAACTCTACCATCCTTCATAGTATGAACGTAAAAACCTTCTGGAACCGCTCCTGATTTAATGTATTCTACCAAAAATTTTTGTTTCATTGCTTCAGTGACTTTAGTCGTCATTTTACTCTAAATAAAATGTTCAAATAAAATAAAACTAACATTATTTTTTCAGTAAGGAAACGCAGGAGTTTTACGATTTATTTGAGGAGTAGGTTCTGGTTTAAATGTTGGAGTCGGTTTTGGAGTTGACTTTTGAACAGGAGTTTGTACTTTCATAGGTTCAGGAGTCATTGAAGGTGTTGTTTGTGAAGGCGTTGGTTTTGGCGATGGTGTCGGAGTTTGTTCAAATTCAGCTACTTCAGTATTATTTATAACATTTGCTTTGTTTCTTTTCAACATCATTACTGCTCCTGCTGTAGCTAGCAAACCTAGTGGGAGACCATATCTTATATAAGGACTTGACCAAATGCTATTTTTGACAGGAGCTGTGGAACACCTAACCTTGGTGAACTGCTCTTTGCCATTGTGCAGCTCGTAAGAAATATTCAATAGGTGCTCCATAATCGTTTGGTAAAGTTTGTTTCACAGATGGTGAAGGTTCACGAGAGCTTGATGAAGAACTCATTTATAAGCTTTAAAAATAAACGTTCATCCTTTATTCCTCACTGTCGTCCGTGCTAAGTTATAGTCGTCAAGTCTTATATTGGTATGCCTGACTGTCTTACTTGTATTGCAAAGCAACAATCCCTCATAAATCCAATAAGTGGCTTTGGTACATTTTCAGTTGCTAGTTCAATAGGTCCTTTAACAGACAATTTGTATGTTATTGGAGCAGTAGATGTTTGACCTTGCTGGAAGCAAAAGTCCACTTCTGTTGGAAAACCACATAAGAAATGTGTGTTGTCATAGCTATCCCATTTATGTTCCACACTACCATCATCCACCAATGACCTCATAACATCTTCATTAAATCCTATCATATCATTGTTTGTATTGCAAGCGTTCGCAACCATTTCATAAAATACAGGTCCATATGATTTTTCAGGTTCTGCAGGCATATTTCCATAAGCTCCCATGGAAAGCTGAAGATATTTAAACTTAGGGTTCTCAAAATTAACATAATAGTTGTCTTTCTTTCTAAATAGTGCCCAAATACTTTTAACATTAATAGGCGTATAAGCTGCTGTAAATGTTGCACTTGAACTATCTGTATTCTTGAGAATGAACCGTCCATAGGAATCCAATCCATAACTTTAACAGGAAAACATAAAGCCTCGTTTGTATAATGTTCTACAAGTTCTGTATAAATGTTAGGGTCTAAAGAGAATGACTTTGGATGAATAAAACATTCATTAAAATCCATCTTTGTTCGAAATAGTTGCTGGGTTACAGTTGTAATAGTAACTGTTCCACTAGCTTCTACTGCCTTCGTTATCATAGTGAATGGTTCATTCCATGGAACAAATTTATTTGTCGGTGGATTTGAATCTGAAGCAAATGCAACTTTAAGAGTTGGATTGAAAGCAATGATATCATTTACAGATATAGATGTGCATTGTAAGGCGTCGCTACTGAACTTTACTTTAAGCTGAATGTTTCCTGCAAAAGCTGGAATAAATCGAATAGCTTCTAATGGAAGGAATCTTCTAACAGAATTCTTAAACGAAGCTTAAAATCAAATGATTTTCCTGCTGTAATTGGACCACTAACAATTTGTCCTGTTCTGCATGTTCCCGAATGACTCCATACATCTTCATGTCGAGTCTTTGAAAAACATTACTTTCTTTATTTGTTCGGTAGTTTGTGAGTTTGAAGTTATATATGCTTCTTCTCTTGCGTTGTCTTGAGAATATACGATACGACCATTTGCAAGGATTTGATATCCAGCAACTGCATAGAAAGCGTCATCGAAACCAATCCAAAATCCTGGTGGGTTTGTTTTATTGGAACCTGAACCAATTTCTTTATCTACAATAAATTGACCTTCCATTTTATACGTAATGAATGTATTGTAAAGGTCCAACATATTTTCACCAGGAGGTGAGAGATTGAATGTTACCCATGTGTTATCTTTAGCAGTTCCAGGTTGTGATGGAATCTTTGCGTCAGAATATTTTCTATTAGTGTCACCAATTTGAACTGCATTGTCTATGATATCGAAATATGAGCGAATCTGATGAATATGCTCTGCTGGAGTAAATTCGTTTAACTGTTCGTTCTGCATGTATTTACTTCAGATAAAAATATCTATTTACTTCATTATTCTCACTCTTCTTCTTGGTATTCGTGGTGGAAGTTGTTTCTTGACATTTTCAATGAACTGTACATTC